AACTCAGGTAGTTTGCAAAGCCCCTTTATCCACTGTTCTTCATGCTCTCAACTCAGTATTGTACTTTCATGTGTGTATTTACTTTGAAACCAGTCTGTTTCACAGCAGAACTGTGACTGAAACAAGTTCTAGAGATTTTCTTCTTTTAGAGCCCACTCTGAATGGGAGAGAGTATGTGTACCAACTTCTTTAACAAAATTAAATTTATACAACTAATACTATTCTTTTGGCAGCTATTGTAGAAAGCATGGTAAAGATGCCACTGGCATAATCTAAATGCACTGCAAATGAACTTGGCAGAGCAGCAAAAAATTATCTTTCAGCTCTTTTATCATGAGGAGTGAAGACTTAGCTTTTCCAACTGTCAATTAAAATAACTATGGCAAGAGTTTGACAACAGATTACTTGTCTGTTAGAGCAAGCACAGACTTACAAAAATGCTTTGAGAATGGGTCTTGGAGCGGATCCAACTGTGAGGAAAGGAAGAAGTTGGGAAGTGGGGATAGGCTAGGGCACCAGCTTTCAGTCAGATTTCAGCAGATTTCTCTGCTTTCCAGCATTCCTTTTTTGAGTCCTAGCAGTGGGTCCCCTTGCAAGTATCAATTGCAAGTCCAAGTTGCTTAGACTGTTGAGATCCTCCTGGGATAAACAGTCCTCCTAATTCCTTTTATCAGGTCCTGTCAGGAGCAGGCACAGATTCTGCAGAAGTGGCTAGAAACGAGCACACAACCAGAGGACCAAGATGCTATACAGCAAGTACAAGAAGAACTGCACCAGGTGAGTATCTAGCAAATAAAGTGATGTTACTTAAGGGATTATCACTATGCTATGCACGTAGGCTGAAGTTAGCTGTAGGGAACTACATAGTAAACTACTATCAACATTTCCAGAGAGAAACTTGTGCTTAGAGAGGGAAGAAGTGTAGTTTGCTGTTCTCAAGGACTGCAGTGTCTGTGCCTCTTCATTCAAAAATGTGACTGCAGCACCTATAGCTATTTTTCAATACCAGCCCTAATTCCCCCATCAGGCTTCTGCAGTTTAGCATCAAGATTTTTTTTCTGTGGCTTTTTAAGAAAGTTACATCCACTGCAGTGCCAGCATCTGCATGACTCTCAGTTCCCTCCTTTGTACAGCAAAGTCTGAGGGTCCTGTATCAGCTAACTGATACTTGACTGGTCATACGTAACGCAATTCTGTCACTTCATGGTCCTTTATTTAAGTGGGTTAATATATAGGCTGTTAAGAGCTCATTTAGTCTTCCTCAATCAAAAAGCCTGGAAGCTTTCTTGCAATGCAAATAGCTTATGCAGTCCTTCTCACTTCCAGTTGGAGATGAGGGTCAAGACTCTCACCAAAGCACAACTAAAAGAGAGACATCATGTGCAGAAGTTGGTTGCCCGTCTCCATGATATCCACAGTGCTCTGGAGCTGTAATGTTTAATCAATCTTCCAGCTTATGGGTAGGAATTTCTGCTCAGTTTTTGCCTCGTTTGTAGCGGAGGGAAAGGGGAATGGAAAAAAATATATACCTTCTCTTCAGTCATGTATGTCATTTTTATTTTGTAAGTTAACTTAAATATCTCTGCTGTATTTTTAGCTATAGCTGTTTTTAAAAAAATGGAGCTAAAAATACCTTATGCTGCACTTACATTATCTACTTTAGGTGCCCCTGACATTGCAGAAATATAAACAACACTGATAAGACTCTTTATTTCAAAATGTTTGCAATTAAATGAGTTAATGTCAGTAAGTCATACACTTTGACATACAAAAATACCGTGCTACTGATACAGTTGAAGAATTAAATGGATTCTCCGTGCAGGAGAAATTCACAGCATTATCAGTACCCTCCAGGAGCTTTGCTTCCACTTCCAGGGCTCAGGGGTAACTAGTGCCTAACATCTCATGTTTGTTAATCAGCTGCATAATATTAACACCATCACAACCCCCCTCCCCCAGCCATTTGCATGTTGAACCCTGTTCCTCTTGGATTCCTACTGAAGTAAACATCAGGCAACTCATTCTCCACTCCTAGGCTAACAGTGATCTTCAAATACTGTAGATAATGATGCCAAGTAGCAAGTAATTAAAGCTTAAAGGTGCTTTGGCTGTGTCAGGTGCCATAGGTGGCAGTGGAGAAGGTGGAAGGTTTTAATTCTTTTTTCTGATTCACTGGAACAAATTTGCTTTTGACTATTAGCAATGCTGTCTTTGAAGCTGAGGCAGGAACAAGCTACAGCTTTAACCTGGGGGTTTGCCTTTGTGTTTCTCACTCTCAAATGTTTTTAAGAAGTGTACATTTCTAGAACCTGTATATACTTATATACTACTGCAGGAGTTAACTTGCTAATACCAAGAAATTTAACAAGATAGGTGGCTGAGAGCCACTTCAAGCTTTTCAAACTCCCCCCCATGTAATGTGAGGAAGCATTGACTCTTGGAGCCAAATGAATAATTTTCTCCTGCTTGCCACCCAAGCATCATCTTAAAGCCATCCTTGAAACTGCATTTCCTGATGCAGCTATCACCCCTTCTTTCCTGATGACAAGCTAAGCATACAGGACTTGGCAAACTGGACATTTGTACAACAAAATTATATTCTATTTTCTGCAGTGCATACAAAAGAGAAATTTTTCTTTAGGAGATCAGAGATAGTCAAAGCAGCATACCATCTCCTCAAAGCAGCAGCGAAAAAACACCCAAGGCTTAAGCAAGTAAATAGTATGAGAAATCTTTCAGACATCAGAAAGGCAGGTTTCATAAGCACATCCATTCCCACAAGCTCGAGGCAGCAAAAGTCAGTTCTAAGCATGGGGTGTGCCTGGCCTCAAGAGAAGAGTTTATTCTTGAAGAACAAGTGATAGATTTTCTTAAAAGTGAAATCCTCCTCTTCACTTGGCCACCAGTTTCTGTCAGTGCTATTTAGTGCCAGTTCAACAGACCCAAGGTGTTAGTATTTGTTACAACTTTTTCTCACATGAGGTTACGAAGAGGCTCTGAAGTTTTGCTGCAGGATGACGATTCACGTAGAGCTTACAGGGCCCAGTACAGTGCCAGTGTGAAGCACGAGGGCAGAAGTCAGAACAGGTGTGACTTTTTGTATTTCGAGCAAGATAAAGAGTTGCCAGCCCATAGAAGGGTCAGGCTAATGCACCTGGGAGGCAACTTTAGATTGATTCAAAGGTCTGTAATAGTTTAATACACAGTCAGTGCATATGGCATTTCATTCCGTGCAAATTAAAGTTGGTCCTTAAAACTCTGAAACTTTCTTTAAAGAGAAGAATTAACTTATCAAGAATTCAGTGACCATACAACAATTAAGATATACACCAAAAAGTAAAAACCTATGTTGGCTGCCACCTTGTTGCATCACAGATGATAAACATCTTCTCTACCTTCCTACCCTTAATCCTGTGTTATTTTGTCACAATCTTGTTTTATCATTCATACAAACAAAGTCTTTAAGGCCTGGAATGGCAAAATAAAACCATGGATTAGGAGTAGGACACATGGATCTCCCTGCTACTATTAAAAAAAACCTCAAGATGGCCAGTTTCATTGTATGGAATGTAGACACAGTGTTTTCAGGTTTAAAATACAGTGCAAAGTCCATTTTTAAAGAGACAATGTCACATAAAAGATCTAAAGTTATTTAATATTAGAAAACAAACTGGATGAGTCTATTGTACTGGTGCTGTCTGTTGTGCATATTGCTTAGTTTGGACTGTAAAGCCATACTAGCCACTTTGACTGTTTGACATCCTGTGCATTTACAGGCTGCCTTTTATTTAAGAACTTTTGAGGATTGTTTTAAAACAGAAATGAGAATACATTCTCAACTCAAGGTCTGTCAACCAGATACTACAAGTCTGAGGTACAAGGTCTGAATCAACCTGTCAGTGTCCCTTTAAATACAGCTAATCTCTACCTCCACCCTTCCCATTGCACCTGCAAAGCCTAGAAAGGCTTAAAAGGGACTTACGAGCTTGGAGAACATAATTAATTACCTTGTGGCACACTGAGGGGGAGAACATAAAAGACTGCAGGCACAGGGTGGGACTGAAACCTCCCTGGTCAACGTTTTTAAAGGCAACTGTACCTGATACATATATGACTATTTGACTTTCTGCATTCAGCAGCCTTATGTAAATATAGGGCAAATACTCTCAAATCCACCCCAGCAATGAGACCTATTTTCTTCACCCAGGTCCTGCTGAGTGATACATACTTGTTAAATGAAACACTCAGTGGTGTGATCGAGTTCCTCCATATATAAAACCTTCTTGCTGTGAGTTTCTATAGAGAGCCCAGTGCCTCTCCAAAGCGGATTTTCTGTCCAGCTTTGAGGTGGAATTTGAAGTCCTTGGGTGCCTCAAAGATGAGTACGATGGTGGAGCCTAAGTTAAATTCCCCTAAATGTTCTCCTTTCCTCATGGAGATTCCATCCTTATTGTTGTTGGAGATAAAGCTGAAGTCGTTGTAGGAACCTTTTGAGTAGCTTGGACTGTTGGTATGCAAGTCCTGCACAGAGAATGAAGAAACCATTGCTGAGGGATTAAGAGCATTCAGCGTTCATTCCCACAACTGGAAATGGTGCCTAGCCAGGTATTTCAGTATACGAGCTTGTACGTCAAGAGCACAAGATGAATATTTTAAAAAGTCTATGCTGAAGATGACCATTTAAGTTAGTCAACTTTCATTCTACTTTACTACCCCCAACCTTCAAAAATGGGAAGGTACCCTGTGACTCACCTGGTCAAAATAGATTCGGATGGAGCCCACGTTTGTTGCTCCTACTGCTGTTAGGGAGAAGAAGCCATGTTTCCAGTCGCCTGTAAGGACAACCCGTTCATTGTGGCAGAAGAGTTCCTTGATCCAGCGGGCAACCCCAGGATTCACAGACATCAGAGAGCCTGCAACAGTGAGAATATACTCAAGGGAGGCTTTCAGGGCTCTCTGCCTGTAATGGCCTAAAGGGTAATTTCATTAGAACTGGCCCAGTAAGCTGTCCTTTTGCTCCAAATAGGAGGGAGAGACACAAATGCTAAGCAGAGCAAATGAACACAAGGCAGTAATAAAAACAACAGGTCACAGAAAAATGTCATCTTTAGTCTTGTGGCTGGAAAAATCAACACTGCTCAGGAGGTGCTTGTATTACTTTGCATTTTGCTTTGCAGTTACTGGGAAACAGGGAAGACCCATCTTTCAGTAGAAGGCTGAAAGCAACCTGGAACGTGATCTACAGTTTTATCTGTTAAGAGAATGAAAGGTTCAAATTTCCTACCTGAGAATGATTCTTTTCATGCTGCCCTGCTCCCCTTTCACTCATTCACACCTACGACTTCACCTTGACAGGTAGTGATGACCTGCTATTAAGGAGCAAAGTCTCTGTTGGGAACCCTGTCCACCCCTGCTGAAGCCTGTTCTGTATCAGTCCTGCCTACTCCCTATCAGCAGTTTGAGGTACAGGGACTGATATCCGCACTCTGACACTGCTACTCTACAAAAGATGTAATTAACTTCACCCTACTTTCATCTTTAAGTTCATATGTGGTAACTACTGCTGTCATCAAATCAGCCCTCGAGAGAGATCGCCAGAAAGGAGCTAGGGCCTAGTCTCAGGCCTGAAAGAAGTGAATGCAGCCTTCTAGGATCAGCTTAAGATCCATCTAACAAAAGGCCACAGTCTGCTAAAAGCAAGTCAAATAACTTTTTACAGTTTAGGAATGTGCTTTAGTGATTAACCATCCAACACCTGAAAGCCCCCCACCACGGTTCTCTTTGGTAACGCAAAGAGGTGAATCCCACATCTGCAGATGAAAAGCAAGGAGCTAGCTAGAGCTGCCAGGAAATGTTAATAAAGTAAACAAGTTTAAAAGGAAAGTTGATTACAGCAAGAACCTCCAGGACTTCAGCCTTTTCATCGTATGTGATTTACACAGGTAAACTCTATTACCTTACAGTTAATTACTGTGTGACAAATTGCTTTCCTCCAGTTATCTATCATGACTGCACAGCTGCTCCAAGGCCCCTGTCCTTCAGCAGGGCCCTCTGCAGCTGCTCTGCATTCATTTTCCAAGAGCAGGAGCTCACCTGGGAAGTGACGTCGGTGGGACACCCTCCAGTCCGTGGGCGAATGGAAGCAGTGATAATCCCCGGGCGCAAGGTAGATCACACAGTGGTAGAGCTCATTCCCTTCCTTGGTGACAAGTTGTTGCTGAAATGAGTTGCCAGGTGGTGCTGCAAGGAAACCATGGAGAAAGGGGTTAAAAGATATTCATGCAATCATCTACTGTAGCCTGGAAGTGTATATTATAATTAGTGGTTAAGAGCAGAGCACTAAATGCAGCCCACGTGTATTGTTGAGACTATCACAAGATTTATTCAGCCACAGAAATCCAACATTTTAAGGTGCTTGTTTCTTTTTACAATAGAATTGGATCCTATACTGAATTTTAAACATTTTGGAAATTTATTAGTTTTAGAACTTTACCTTCCTCAAATGGCACAACAGAAAATGAAGTTCAGTGAAACACAAGAATTCTTGCTCAAAGCCACCCGTTCAAGAGTAGAATTTGTAGAGAGGCCTCAGGTTTACATCTGTGTATGTATTGAAATGGAGTAGTTTGTACAATCTTTGCTAACCAGGTGTTTGGGCACATTCGAATGATAAGCAGCAGTGCTACAGTGTCCTTACAGAGCAGGATTGTGAAATCTGTTTTAAGCATTACTAGAACCACACATAAAGGAACCAAGTATTTAATGGAGAAAATCAGAATGATTGGGGCAAGACAGTACAAAGCTACTATACAGTGATACGTTTATCATCAAGTGCAAGATATACATTACAGAGAAAAAAAGAAGGGGGGGAAAAAAAAGAAAGCACAGAACTATTTTTGTTCCTGGCACTGTGAAGGAACAGAAAGATCTGTATTCTCTTGTTCTCTGAGAGCACAGAAGTGGCAGAGCAGAGCACATGCAAGGTCCAGCAGATGCACAACTTTACCTTGCCTAAAATGCAACTCCTCCGTGCTGATGCGAGGTCCTAAGAAAGATTCCAGCGAGTAAGTGACACCTTTCACCTGCTCCACTTCACAGTTTTTTACCTGCCCAAAGTTAAGTATCTTTCCATCAGAGGGACTAATCTACAGAGAAGAAAAAAGAAATGAAACACATAAGAAATGAATGGCTACCTCATCTGTTCAGCCACCAGAGCAAGCAAAAAAAATATCTATCAACTGATCAAACAGTGAATACACTCTTATTCCTTCACATCTGGCTCCTGTATAAAGTGAAGTTGTGAAAACTCTTTGTGGGATTCTAGTCTCTGCTTTGTGTCTTTTAATTACATAAGACAAAGCTTAGACATGCTCCTTCTCTGGGGGATAAAGGCTGTAGTGTAAAGCCGTCGTTTCCTTTTACTCACAACACTGTGCAAAGAGCAGACAGGCCGGGCTTGCGGTTTCAGCTTCCTGCGGAAGAATTCACTGAGGTTTCTGTAGTGATGCAAATCTTCAACAGCTGCCTCCTTCATGTTCACTCCAAAGGTCCAGATGTAGAGGCTGTACACAGGCTTCCGGAGCCATGTAGGCAGCTCCACCTGGTTCAGGCGCCCCCAGGCCCGTGAGAGCAGCCGAGTCGGTACCGATTTGTAGAGAGCAACCTAGAGAAAGAACAATCACACCATGTCATTCACTGTTCTCACTGCTGGCTTCCATCACCTCTCCCCATAAACCAGAAGGGCTCAGACTGCTCCTGCTGACACTGCCTTGAATTCAGCAAGTTAGATTATGCAGGAAGTAGCCTTGACATCTGCAGAAAATTACACTGCGCCTCTCCTTTCTGCCATCCCAATGGGAACAGAGGAAGGGAGAGGATGCAGCCATGGAGCTTACTATAACTTTATATTGAAGCTAGAAACTCCATTCCCTTGAAGCTTCACATGAAAGTTACCGGAAACTGCCCCTGTGAGCTTTAATAGTAAAAAAGAGACATTTCACCAGTCGAACCCTCATTAGAAGGATTTAGCATTACAAATTTGTTCATTTTTGTAAATAACTAAAAGAAAATTGATTGAAAAACCTTCTCCGTGTTTGGTAAGGTACTTCTCAAATGGCTATCCACTAGGGAAGGTATTTCTCTAAACCTCACAATTGTACCACTTCATGATACTGGAACAACTCAAGAAACACAACCCTGTGGGTCCTCCCACACTGGTGTAAACTTCTGTCACTCGTGCCCCTTCTCTTTCAAGGGTGAGAGTTTCTATTAGACACTTCTACTTTGGGACTTACCCCAAAGCATAAGTTTCAGTAGGAAGAAACACAAATGAACCTCTGCACTGAATTATGCTATTTCTGCAACTGGGCAGATGGCAGGTTCTCCTGCTGGGTATTTCCAGGGGCTAACTCCCCTGAGGTCTACGGGACTTGGTTTTGGCCCCCCCCCCCAAAAAAAAAAAAGGCAAAAAGCCTGTGTGAGCACAATGTAACTGTGCAGGTGTTTTGGTAAGTCTGGTATAGTCTTTGTGAACAGTACAACAGGCTAGCTTTCACTTTAAAAGATTAAAAAAACAACTTTTTTTTTCCTTAGCAAAAGTCATCATTTACTCCCAATACTAGTCATCATATCCTCTGCTATTAAGCCTTGCAGATTACAGTAATAAAAACACGTAAAAGCACATGCCATTTGAGAGTTTGTCCATCCTACCAAATACACTTATTTCACTCCCCAATTATCTTCCTGCATCAGATCAAAATACAGTGAGTGATATTCAAGAAGGAAGCCACCAATTTAATTTTACTTCAAATAAAAGCTTTTAAATTGGTGGTACTTCAGAATAAACTGAAATACTAAAGAAAAATATATTACCATTTTAGCTGACAGGCCTTAAACAGTGCCAAATGCCAAAATCAGTTCTGCTCAGTTTTCTACAGTGAAACTGTAGACTTTCCACAGCTGCAATTCACAAAAATTATCAAAGTGACATTTCCCAGTGACCCACTCTTTTGCCATGCTACTTTTCAAATTCATGGGATCAAGAATAGCTGTTAAGAGGAAATCATTTCAAAGAACTGCAGTTTTGTTAGTTTTCAGTTAAAGGACTTGCACGGTTCTTGCATTTGTAGTTGCGTGATGCATTTAAAACACTATTTATGTGGATGGCTTCCTACTCACTGCTCTCAGTAGCTTCAGAGCAGAGATTTGTATTAGCGTGTCATTCCGACAGCCTGAAGTACATCTGCTCAAAGACCTTGACAAACAAACCCTTTTTATGCAAAAATGCCAGCAAACAGACTATTCGAATGTGGCCAGGAAACAGAACTGGAGAAACACTCTGGTCTGCCCTGTCCTAGCCCTGGCACGCAGAGGGCAAGTGACTGGATCAATTCAAAAGTTTCCACTGATTTTCCCGATTCCCATGGCCAGGAGAAGACATACAGAAATTCTCTGTACTGAACAATCACCTCTCTGTGAAGCAGTTAGGCACCAGAATTACCAATGGTAAAACCTCAAGAGAAACATTAAATGCATCTCTGTTTTCATACTAGTAATCACCACCCTGGTCTACATTAAGGATCCCTCCACCCCACTGCTGCCACCTCCCTGCAATATAAAGCAGCTAAATATGAAGCACAGCAGAGACCTGCTCACACTTACCCTGCTCATGGGCCTCCATCCCACTCTGGTCAAGGGTTTAAGAGCACCGAAAGGCAGAAGATAATAAAGAATAGTCAGAGGCCAAGAACGGAGTTTCAGAGCAGGCCTAGACATACAGCTCAGCTGGCCCAACCTTCGCCTCAGGGCCAGCTGGGGGAATTGCAACCTGAAAGATCACATACACAACAGGAGAGGGTCAGCATCTCGGCTTCATCACCCCCAGCTCCTCATGGCTGGCAGTGATTTATTTCTGCTCATCTTTAACTATACCTAGTTCTACAAATCCCTACTGCTCTATTTTGGTCACTTCTTCCCCTTTCCCAAACAAAAGATCAGTTATCTCCAAAAAAAAAAAAAAAAAAAAAAAAAAGTATTCTGTCCAAATACTGGCATTCACTGTCACTGGTCAAACTTCATTAACCACTCCCTCAAAAATTAAAGGCAAAAGTCACTTGCAGGGGACATAAGAAAACAAAATAAAAGCTGATTCATCCAACAAAAATGGAACAGGGTAGTTTGCAGTGGGAAAAAAATGATAACAAAACTTGGTAGGAGTATCAACAGAAATACCTCCCCAAAAAGTGTTGTTTGTGACTGTTCCAAGTCTTGTACAGCCAGAGGGGGCAGCAAAGTGAGTATTCTAAAAGCTGGGAATCTATCATTCTGGGACATTAGACCCCAAACTGCATGCAAAGGCAATATTGAGGGAAGAGCAGATATTCTAGTGAAGGAAATTCCTGAAGCCTAAGAATTGTAATCCCTCACACATTTCCTTTGCTGGAGGAATCCTGACTGTATCGTGTCTTAAATTGTGTTCTCCATCACAGAAGATGTAGGAGCCAAATTTACATAGACCTGTTGGTCACTGACTGAATTCAGGAAACAAGTACTTAATACTTGAGAGACAAACAGGAATATAATTCCCGAGTTCACTAATGCAGGTTCAAATAACTGATTCCAAAAACAGCTTTGCAGGCCTTAAAACCTTCATACCTTGGATACCTTGGCTCTGAACAGAGCATACACAGACTAAGTAGATACTGCTGGAGCTGCAAGCTAATCTGGTCTCATCACTCTGGCCTCATAACCAACTGCACCTACTCAAAGCAAACTCTTCTTGTGCAAGTGGCCATGAGCAGAAGTTGAACTTTGGAGGCTGAGAAGGGGAAAGCCCCTGATCTTACTAGCAAGAGACATCTTGGGTCTCAGTTCAGACTGCTGTGGGGGGTCAGGACAAGAGCCCATTTAGGTGAACTGACTCCCTATTTATTCTTGGGCCTCTCCTCATGAAGAAATTCTTGACTAAGCTATTTCTTACATTTCCAGAGTGATATTATCAAACTGAAGTCTGCTTGTCTGAGAACAAAACATTCAGGTCTTCTGAGCACTGACCCCTGGCTAAGAGCCCGTTCTCCCACTGTGCCTGCAACTCGAACTCAACTCTGTGCGTGCTGGCTGCAGGCAGAAGGCTCTGACTGCACTCAATAGCTTTCTTCTTCACTGGATTCCATTACATGAAAGGTGAACTATAACACACTGTGCATTTCTTTCCAAAATGGAAAGAAGCTAGGAAAGCAAGCCATAATTTTGTGCCAAACTGTTCCTTTCAAAACCTGGCTCAAAAGAGCACGCACAGGATCGTCACTTGGAGATGCAAAATGGTGCTTTTGGCTCAGATTTTCTCTGCAGCAAAACCACCTTCCTCCCTGCTTCCGCCTCCCAAAATAAGAGTCTGATCTGGGCAGAGCACAAAACCCCCGGAGGATGACGTCCTGCCTGGGCGCAGGGGAAGCCGGGGGTGGCACCATGTTCTGCCCCAGGGCCCTGCGCTGGGCGCCACTCCCCCCCTTCACTGCAGTCGATCCCGGACCAATCCCGGCAGAGCTGCGTCCTGGCAGCTGCCTCGGAGCCCTCCGGCTCCTTGCTGCCTTGGCCTCCTTTCAGAGCAGCCCCTCACTAATTTTTCCTATTCTCCTAGTCCAACGGAGTAGAAAGGAGAGAAACCTTTGTCATTCCCCTTGTCATAAAACATCATGCCCTTCTCTGCCAATTCAATGCATAAGGAGCTTTATAGTAATTAGGCCAAACAAAAGCTTTGCAGATGGCTGTTGCTGTGCCCAGAAACCTTCCCATCCTCCCTCCCTCATTTCTCCCTTCCTGCAAAGCAGAAAACACTGAACAGTACCTGAAACGGCTTCTCCTATTTGGTGTCCCCCCGGCAGAGCCGGCAGGGCCTGGGCTCTCCAGTTGTGGGTGCTGGTCCCAGGCAAAGCTGCTGCTGCCGCCGTTCCCTGAACGTAGCCTCCGGACATGGATTTTAACTTTGCGGAGGTTGTAGCAAGAGGGTGGAGGGTTAGATAAAGCTTTATAGCATCTCACCATTTCCCTGTGTGTAGATCTGGTCCCTGCAGGGTGTTTGACTGACACATCGTCAGGGTGACGGTTGCTTGCAAGGCTCAGTCTTTTTTCCTCTACCTCTCCTTCCTTTGCTTGCTCCGGCACAGGAGGGAGGGCACGTCGTCACAGTTCCTAATTCCCCCGCCGCTTTGTCTCTGGATTCCCCCTCCGTTTCCCACTTGAATCTCTGCTACGAGGCTTGCAGCTATTGCAAACAAACAGGCATTGGGTCATATTTCAATATCCCACTACAAAGACGACTCTGCACAAAACAAAAGCAAGCTCTCCGCATAAGCAGTCCTCTTTTCTCCCTAGCCAGGGTGGCCATTGAAGCCCAGCTCTCCGAAGAACAGCCCGCAGGGTCCGGCCGGCCGCAACGCGCTACAGTGGGCCGCTGGCTGGCCCGGCACAGCTAGCCCCAGCGAGTGGCACTTGGAATACGGGGCTGGAGGAGGAGCACGGCAGCGAAGAGGAGGGGATAATCCCTCGCTTCGCTTCTGCACTGCAGCAGCCGCAGCTAAAGCGGCGCCAGACTGCTGGGCAGTCAACCCTGTACCGCACCGGAATCCCTTCCCTGCTCTTCTTATCCAGCTTGGAAAGAAGGAGGAGTGAAGGAAAGGAGCATCTTTGCATCTCACAGATTCTTGCCAGACATCAATATCCATCGCCTGAAGGCTTCCAATCTCCAAGCCCTCGCCTAGGGAGCAGATAAAAGGACATTGTTCTGCAAATCCCCAGATGCATAATGGAATAAGCCAATTGTAGGGCCAGCCTGAGAACTGAAAAGGAGTGTTAATGAGTTTTATGTGGCTCCCAGGACCGGCAGTTTTTACATCCACTAGATGAACTAGAGTATGAAGCATGGATGAAGTAAGATTTCCTTCCCTTAAGACTAAAGCCTGTAGTATCAATCTCAGAATTCTGAGAATATATAAATTCCGCTGTTTAGCTCTGCCGAGTACACCTCAAACCCGGTTCTTCTCTATCTCCTGTTGACTAGACTTGGATTGTTAAAAAAAAGATTAGGATCCATCTCGAGTAGGGCTTGAGGGGAGTATTTTTTAACAAATGTCATGTACTATGACTGGCCTTCCACTCTAAATATTCCAGATGTTCCCTAGAAACAAGATCAAACTGTTACAAGATCAGTGTTTAACTTGTTGTTTTAAGATGGATTTTAACAAATACATAAAGAAAAGGAAACAAAGAATAAAAAACAGTAAAGTGAAAGTTAAGATTGGTTAATAAGCAGACAAAACATACTCCTTTTTTCCTGAGCCCCCGCCAGGTTTTCCGTTTTCCTATTTCAGTTACTCCTCACTCTTTCTTTGGCTGGCACAAGAAACTCCTACACAGACACAGAGTAAAATGGAAGCAGTTACCCAAAACATTACCAAAATTCACAAAGCAGTGAGAAACACAGAGCAGCCATTCCTCTTCATTTTCCACGTACATTAGAAAACCTCACTATTAAATATTAGAATTTAAATATAATCTGAAACTAAATTCACAACATCCTTTTCCAAGGCACTTGATGGGAGCACAGTGGAAGTCGCTGTTAGCCAGGCACATCCCTGAACACGTGTGGCCACCGCACACAACCGCGAGGAGGAAGATGCGTCTGAGTGCTCGTGAGCTGTGGGGAGCAGAGACCCAGCGCCCTGGGCCGGGGCCGCCTCCCTGCTGCTGCCGCCGTCTCCTCCTCAGCCTTTCACATCCGTCTCCTCCTCAGCCTTTCACATCCGCCCAGCTCCGCAGGAAGGCACGGAGCAAACACGGCTGGGCTGCTTTCCCTTGGGGGCTCTTCGCTTAAGCACGCGGAGGGAGGCAGAGCCTCAGGCTTTCAGTCTGATCCCTGCACATATGCTCAAGAAGTTACGATACATTCCTAGCATCAGGCATGCTTGATCTAGGGTATGGGGCTCGTTAAACAGCTAATCTACTGTCTAAGTGTTCTGCTCTGTGATACTGCTGCAAATTAAAATAGAAAGGGACCTATCACCCTTCAGTGCAAAACAAAAACATTTGGAGCAAGAGATTCCCCTCCAGGAAGAGAGGAACGTCACCATTACGAGTTCTCTTTCTCCTCTTCTTCAAAATCTCAGTTCAAATAAGATGACCAATGTCTCTCATCCATTCTGTTCTACTGACCTAATGATGTTCACCAAGATGCAAATACCCGAGTCCTGCTCAAACACCGACATAAAAGTAGCGATTCTTGTCATTTCTGCACCAGCAGCAGCTTTCAGCTCCGCTCTGCAAGAAGGGCGGAATGAAACAGCCACCCTGGTTTACCCACTGTCAAGAAGACCAAGGAAAGGAACCTGAATTGGTGATTAACCAGCTCAAAACAGGAACTCATACAACAGTGTCTCAAAGGCTGGACTTCTCGGCATCCAGCAATGCCACAAAACAGTTTATTAGCTTAGACAAGAAGGTCATGGATGTTGGTTAAGTATTAGCTTGGACATCAGTACCAAATTCCCCAGTCTGCCTGGACGCATCCAGAATCCATGCTAAGTAAATAAAGCAAGCAGTGGCCATGAGGTATAAATCCCTCCAGAATTAATATCTAATAATGCACTGCTAATCTGCCAGCAATGCAACACCATTCTGCTCTGTCAGCTCAAATAAGTGTCAAATCCAGTGACCCCATCTAATTACCGGTTCTCTCATCACTGGCTCAAGCCCTTCCCTCGGGGTTTCAAAAAGCAGCAAGCCGGGGCCTTTGCAAGAGCAAGCGGCTAGTGCACAACTGTACTTAACGGTGAAGCAGCACGTTTGAAAGTAACGGCGCCAATCGTGAGGCTGGAAGCACCCCGCGCGAGTGCGTAACCCTCCCAGTCACGCTGCATCCCTTGGGTAACCGCGGCTGTTTAAAAGATGCACCAAGGGCCTCCAAATAGGACACTGGGAGCAGCTTTCCAGTTAACGGAGGAGATAGCAACATACAGCATCGGTTGCTGACAGTGCCAGCCCCTTCCCAGCAGCATCTGTTGAATTTCAGACTCATGTGATCCCTGCTCCCATCCCACCTCCTTGTGAGTCACCCCGCACCCAGCCAGGAGCTCCTGGACCCCAGGAGCGAAACCACGGAGCCGCCCCGCGGGCCGCCCTGGTCACATCACGTGCGCCCTGAGTCACTTCCAGCCTGCGTGGGGAGCGCCCCGCTCGCTGCCCACGGACCGCACCGGCTAGCGAAACGTACCGTTAACTGCCACAGTGCTTTACTTTTAACGTGAAGAAGCCTTTTTACAACTTCCCTTGATTTATTAAGCAAAGGGCTTTGGTCATTTTCCCCTGTGGTTTTACACTGCTGACTTAGTGGTATTCCCTACATAGAGAAAGAAAAAAAAAAGTGGTATTTTAAGCTAGCCATAAAAGGAGTGGATAGTCTTGAAGATGTCTCCTGTGAAGCCAGGAGAAAAAAGAGTAGCTTCACCCCTGAAAATGTAGCGTTCTGTGTTAGTATCCACCTCAGCAACCACCTCTTCCCGTCCACACGATCACCATGAGATAAATCCCTGGGGTATTTGCAGAGCGAACTCGCCCCTCCGCAGAGACGTTCACAGGGGCCTGCGAAGGCGCCACCGCTTCCGCCG